GACTGCGGCGGCAGCCTCCGCTCGGCTGGATAGCGTCTGTTCCTCGGTCTGAAGTTTCAGCGCTGCCAAAGCTTTAGCTTGGGCGACTAATTGTGCTTCCAAAGCTGCCTTCACGGCAGCTGCTGCTTTCGCGGAAGCTGCCGCCGATTTTGCGGCTGCTTTCACGACAGCCTCGGCGAGGCTCAAGGCGGACGCTTTCACCGCGGCTCCAGCCTTCGCCTCCGCCGCGGCGCTAGCTTTGGCACGGCCCAGAGAGATTTGCACTTTCTTGCCGAGACCCAGCATCGGGGCACCGTTCTCCTTTCTCATGGCGCTAGTTTCCAGCTTCGACAGCAGGTTCTTCTCTAACCATGGGCCGTCCTTCGGGGTTTGCCATGATCGCTCTTCGAGTGATGCGCCCACGAGGCCCCAGGTGAGCAGGCACGTCGCAAGTATCGCTGGGATCTTCATCTTCGATAGAACTCCGCAGATTGGTGCCGATTATGAGCACAGACCAGGTTATATACGGGCTATCGCAGTTGTGTAAATATCTTGACTTTACCGTGTTCTTTGGAAATATTGTTTTATCCCCTGTTGCGGGATATCTTCATCCTCGTTGCCGACTGACAATATCGTCCTTTTTCGATCGTGTTTGCATTTCGCGGTAGTGTTGTCAGCTGCGATGATTTGTTTTTTTTTCAAGCATGTGTTAAATATTGATACTTGTTGTTCTAATAATAATATTTGGCGTAATAATATCGGGAACGTGGCGGGTTCGTGTTGCTCTTCTTCGAAAGACTGAATTTTTGGCATTGCAAGAGCCACGAACACTTGTAGACGTAGTATTCATGGGGTAATAGAACCATTAATTGATTGTTAGAAATGGGAAAAAAGTTCCTAGGTCTTCATAGATTCTCTTTAGATTCTTTCTTATTGCTAGACTCCCCTTAGACCTCAGACTTAAATTCTCCTTGTACTAAATGGGAAGTTACTCTTCTTGTGTTCTCTAAAATTTCCCCAAATCTCCCCTAGATTTTCACTAGATTCTTCTATTGACATATCTAGGACTAGTTAGTATATCTAACTCTAGTTCCCTAGCTTAACAAATAAAATTAACATCTCACACCAGGCATATAGCCTTCTTCTAAGATTTGAGAATTTGACTATTTCCCATAAAAGAACGCCGATGTCCACTAACTCCACAAATTAGCACTTGATCTACCCATTACTAATGTACGATTATTATTGCACGTTTCTTTACAAAAAGATAATCTTGTGTCTTGTTTTCATTTCTTTACCTCAATGGCTTATCAGAGAAACGTGTCTTTATATTAATACTTGCCATAACCCTGATTGCACGCACATCGTGCAACCATTTTAAATAATATCCTTTTTGTACTAGATTGAAATGTTTTGATAAAAATGTCATGTGTTATCTTGATAAACTAGATACTGCGAATATGCCAAGCTACTTAAAATCGGGTGAGGGGTTTCGATAGAAAGTAATGTTCAAGGTTGATTGTGAAACGTGAATTTTTAATATTTATTTGCATATTGAATAATGAATCTATATTTACGTTACACATAGGTTAAAATATTACTTTTCTAGGCATACAGATAGAGATCACTTATAATGCGTAATTTGTATTTTATTATTAATTATATTTAATTAGGTATACATACATTTGTAAAAATACATACATTTTGTAAAAGACATAAGAAGTAAATGTAAAAATTATTAGCAATATTGTACAACTAAGGTCACTAGCTTATGAAAAATTGTTATAAAATAATAATTACAATAATTTTTTATATGGCACCATTAAATGTTTATTTCTAAGTTTCAATGTTAAATTTCGCTTCTTTACCATTTTCCTTTCTTTCTTTGTTCTTACTATAGTATGGTTACATTTTGACCCTAGTCAAACCCAGTTTTCATTCTACGAAGTTAACAGTATGGTGAGAATAACATTAGCAGCTGAAAATAATAATTACAAGTATATGAGGTCGTCACGCTAATTAATACTATTTTGCTAGCATACTTCACATTTACAAAATAACTAACTGTGAAATTGGAAGACTAGGATCAAGATGATGTCACGCTAAAGAGAAAAAACCTAGTGCAATTATTCTTTTTTAATACCGTTATCACTATCATCAATCATCTCCTTTATATGAATTTATCAGGAGCTCCGGATATTGCCGTCAGCGAGTTATGAAATATTTAATTAAACACATGCTCATAAGCATATATCATGATCAGATTTAATCAACGGCGCTTAAGAAAGATGCAGCTGTTCCCATACACGATAGGATTAAGATCTCGAAAAATAATTCGGATGAATAGTCCCAGGATATATCAAGATGAAACTCAACATACTTAAGATACGAACAACTTTATTACACATTTCATACTGCATAGTATCAAAGAACTTGAGGGAAGCCAAATACAGGGAGAAATACGAAAAAAAGAATCGACGATCGGGTTGCTACGACAATTTATTTCCGCTAATACATTACACGGCCGAATATCAGCTGTTAATCATTTATCGTCTCCATAATCGAGCCCACAAGTAAATCTCTCATAATTAAATCAAATTATTCCAAAAGTAATCGCATCTGTGCCAGATAACAACGATGATGATCCAGTAACTCTCTCAGCTCTTCTCCAATGATGGCCCCCTAATTTCCTCGCTCTTCGTCAACTCTTATCCTTAGTCGGACTTCCACCCTTTATCCTCGACCTCTGACTTTTGGTCGGTGATAATCTTCGCTTCCGACGAGGCTTTAGCCGAGGCTTGCGATTCGCCGGCGGCGACAGCCTCCGAGGTGGCCAGAAGGGCCTCGAGTCGGCCCACGGCGTCGGCCTCTGCGTTCGCAGCTCTAGCCTCGAGGCGAACAGCGGCGGAAGCTTGAGAGGTGGCTGCAGCCTGTGCACCTTGAGCCTTCTCGACGGCGTTTCTAGCTCGCGAGATGGCAACTTCCGCGATAGCCGCGAGTTTGGTGGCCTCGGCTTCTTCTTTGGCGGCGTTTTGAGCCTTGGCCAAGAGAATGGCTGCGGCTTTCTTGGCCATTTCCGCTTTGGCGGCAGCTTCGGCAGCAGCCTGGGCCTCGGCAGCCTGGGCCTTCTTTGCGATGATGGAGTCTGCGTTGGCCTTCACCTGGGCCTGAGCAGCAGCGTCTGCCGCGGATGCCGAAGCCTGTGCGGCCGCCTTTGCTGCAGCCGTCAGCTCGGCTGCTCTTCTTGCAGCGGATACCAGGGCTTCAGCGGCTTTCGCGGCATCCGTCAGCTTCCCGCGCGCGATCTCGCTCAACTTGATAGCTTGCTCTCTCTTAGCTATCGCCATCAGCGTCGCTGCTTTTGCGCCGGCCTCGGCGTTCTCCGTGTCAGCAGCTTGCGAAGCGGCCGCCGAAGCTGCGGTTCTTGCCGCAGCGCTCAAGTCCACGTTCAATCCGACCGTTTCTCCTGCTCTGACCACGTTCAAGGCATTCTGCACCGAAACTCCGGACGAGTCTGACCCATCGCCCACCAGCCGAGCTGAACCGACATGCACCGACTTCTCCAGGCCCTCGCCTCCTTTGCCCACAATAATGCGGCCCTCGGCCAGCCCCCACACGAGCAGAGACGTCACGAGTAATGCTGGGATCTTCATGTTCGACGCAGCTTCGCTGATTGATGCCCAACGGGACGATCAACGCTGGTTATATACCGCTGTCGCAGTTGTCAAAACAACCGCTGTTATTCTTTACAAGACTAACCTGCGAGATCTGATGCGATTTAACCTGCTGAAATATTGTTACAACAGGGAGGGGGCGAGATTAGCTCGCCGGTTGGTTGCCGTTTATTTAGGTGTTCCGACTGGGGGTTTTCTTGTTTTTGGGACTGGAATTCACGGCTTTTAGGTCTTGGCGATTGGACGAGATTGAGTATACAGCCTGACTGTATTATAGAGATATTTAGGGACACTGATGGACATGATGGGTAGTAAGATCTATGGTTTTCGAGTTTTAGGAAGTTTCTATTTGAAGATATGGAAACTAATTTAGAAATTTGAAAATATTTGGATATATGAAGACATGTCATTCTTAAAATAAAATATTTAGAAACTTGGGGCACTTAATTTAGAAATATGATGAATTTATGCTATGAAAATTTTAAGTATTGATCAAAAAGAACTGATGAACACTGAAGTTCATGACGTGAACTTTTGATGGCAATTAGATTAGACTTTATTAAATTTTCAAATTTAGTGCTACAGAAAATTGATAATCTCGCAGTTCAGAAACTTGAAAAAACATATTTAGAAATATATGAATATGAATTCTTTAAATTAGAAAATTTATAAATTGAAAATTTTATTAGAATTTTATTAAAATTTGGCTTAATGGAATTTTAGGAAGATGAAAATTTGTCAACATGGAAAATTAAAAATGTGAAAGTTTGGTAACATGGAAATTTGAAATCGTGCAAACTTGACAACATAAAAATTTAGAAATGCGGAAATTTAATAATTTGAAAATTTTATAGTTTAAAAATCACATAACACATTTCTGACTTTAAACATAGTAGCTGACGTAGATACACATTTACCAAAAGGTACCAATAACATAAAATAAAATTTCAAAAACATTATTAAGATCAGGAAATTCTTGCCACCCCTCTCTAGTGCCTCCTGCTAGACATGAAAGAAGAACAACAACTTCATTTCTTTAAAAAAATTCCAAATGGAGCAGCTTCCTTCACTGAACGTTTGACGAGTTTTCTTCTATAAACATGTATTGTCTGTAAAGAAATTCACACTTATGTTTGATCAGTGAAGATCAACACACGAGTTCCGATATTTATAATAAGCTACGCGATAGTACATCGGATTTGATTAATTAATCCGATGAATGTTTGTATAATAAGGAAGTTCATTTTACAAATAAAAGAAACACGTGTGTAAATAACGTGGGTGATGTATTCATTTTTGTAATGGTGTTGTTTTAACAACTCCAAGGTAGTATAACTTAATCGTAGTCTTTCAATATTGAAACAAATGTGCTGGTGATTATTTAACGTAATCGGGTGATTTTTAACAATACAGTGGGTTGGAAAATGTCATTGTTTTTATTATATTTAAATAGAGCGATTTGAATTTTTTTTTTTTATTAGTTTTATTATACTGCATAGTCTTCTTCAATAAGAAGAATTCTTGTAATAATTCTTAAATTAAATCTTATATTATGTACAATAAATATACTAAATTATTACAATTTATTACTATAATAAATTACCATCATATATTGTTATAACAATTATTACAATTTTTTAGTATCATAGATAAAACAGCTACCTTAATTATAAGTAAAAGTACTTGTCACACAACATTTACAAGGACAGATAACATTTCAATTTTTAGTGAATAAAATGTATAAACTATGTGTGTATGATTTTTTACTAAATTAGTATGCTTGTAATAAGAAATTTAGGGTCGTAAAGCGGTAATTATCTATATCAGAATAAATTGCGGTAGTTGAAAGATAACTATCCAAATCCATAAATTACTTAATTAATATATTAGTATGTAATAACTATTTAATAATTAATCTTGTTTGTCATTCATAATACAATTTATTAGAGCTTCATCAAAGGCAATTTTTCTTTCTTATATTTGACAGTCGACAAAAATCTATTTGATTTTTTAACTCAATTAATTTATGTCCACATACAAGACAATAGTTAAAAGAGACATGGGAAATAAAGGAAAAGCATAATTCTATTTCCGACAATTTTTTATTTAATCTCCAAAAAAAATATATGGCTGCGAACGATAGTCAGATATTACACAGTACCGGTGCGATATATCAAGAAGAAACGGGAGCCTCATAGAACAATATTCGTGAATGAAAGTACAATACTAACAGACGAACAGGCGACGCAAAGTAACAACACGACAGGACTTAGTACATGCTAAACCAATTTATTATCATCGTTACAACTTCTTACTATAGGCATCATTGACACGTTACTATTTCCTGTGAAATACCAAATGCATCCTACAACGCCAAAACAGCATTGTTCAAACAAATCTCGCATCTCCAGACTCATGCAGCTCCCCAAATGCGTCCCTGTTAAGCAGCCCAAGCGCTCTTGGAGAGTGGCGACTTCAGACCCACGTTTTCGTCTTTCATTTCGATCTTGTCGTCGTTGGAAGATGACCATCCCCCTTTGCTAGGTGCCCATCCTTTCTCGGATGGCCATCCCTTAGAAGGGCTCACTTTCAGCGATATCTTCTCGATCTTCGAGGCCTTATCGATATTGGCACCGATTATAGCCACTTCGCTGTTCCTAGCGCTGGCCTTGGAAGCTTCCTGTGCTTTCATGTTGAGCGCAGCATCGATCTCCCTGCTCTTCTCGTCGATGGCGGCGATCAGTTGGGCAACCTCGCTCCTGGCTTCGGATTCGGCGGCGCTCTTGGCGCCGGCTCTGGCGGCTACCTTCGCGGCAGCGAGGGCTGCAGCGGCTGCCCTAGCTTCCGCTTTCGCGGCTGCTGCAGCTCCGACCGCC